GAAAGGAGAAATCAAGGAATGTGAAAGTGCACAGTGTTCCATTTAAAATATTCGTTCTACTTTTGACCACCCTGCATAAACTGTTCAAAAAACTGAAAAACGATGTGGATATGTACAAAGTATGGCATCATAAAAACTGTCTTGCGAAAAATTCAGTACTCTAGGTATAATAGTTGAGGGGGTGCGAGTTGTCAAAGATCAGTATTTTATTCTAAAGATTGTCAAGTATCTAAAAAATTTGGAAATATAAATCTATGTTTGTTTAAATTGCTTCGTAAATGTTATGATTTCCATTGAAAAAATGCGTCTTAGGGACACACAGTCATGAATTACCCTGTAGAGATTTCAGGTAAGGAGAATAATGTTGGTTACAATCTTTTTAATTACCTTTTTTAGATACGCGTACTATACGCAACACTTATCAAGCGCTCCCACACCAAAAACTCACCCAGTATTTAATTATTGGTCATCGTGTCTAAGTTTTGCTAGCCAAGTTTTATAAACCAAAAATAATGTGTCCAGAAATATATTTGCCTTTTTAAACTTGAATAACTTGGCAACAGTGTAACTTCGTCCTTCAATAGTGGATCGATGCGCATTATTTAGTAAAATGGAGCGTTGGTGTGGTGCGCATCGTGCGTTCATTGCTGAGGAATATTTCAAGAACAATTGTTCATACACAATTTCAAGATGATACAGTTTTGTGCTCACTTCAATATTAGGCGAGTGGAGGACGCACCAAGTAAAAATTTAGTGTAATCGTGGGTGAAGAGGTTTAGAGAAACATCGTCAGCTTAAAATGTGAAACGTCCAGGACGTCCAAGGACTGGAGCTATCCCTGAGAATGTTGAATCTGCACGCGCCGCTTTAATTCAAAATCCAAGTGGAACTGTTCATAAAACATCACAGGTGGTTGGATTACTTAAATTATCTTGTCATCCAATTTTAAGGAGAGATTTAAAGCGCCATATCTACAAGATCCAAGTAGTGCAAAAATTAAACCTAAGTGAGTTTATAAACCGTCGTTTTTTCGCCGAAACAATGGTATTCCGTTTTGCAAGAAGCAAACGTCTGAATTAACAATATTCTGTTCAGTAACGCGGCGCACTTTCACCTTTCAGGCGCAGGTAATAAGCAAAATTCTCGCTACTGGGCACTAGAGAATCCAAGGCAGAAACACGAAAGGCTCCTACGTAGCCCAAAAGTTACTGTGTGGTGTACAATGTCGGCTTCAGGAAATATCGGCCCGTTCTTTTTTGAGAACCAACGTGGCATAGCCCAGACTGTAACTACTGATTGTTATTATGCAATGCTTCAGGAGTTTTTGATACCTTCACCACAAGAATTTGATGGCTTTGATCAAGAAACATGGTTTCAACAAGGCGGCGTTACCGCACGTACCTACAGCTCGAGCATCTATAGAAGTCGTTCGAGAATTATTCCCGGAAAAGATCATCTCTCGCTTGGTGACATAAACTGGCCAACTGGGTCTCAAGATCTCACCCCATTACTTTTTTTATAAAAGTAAAGTTTATGCTAATCGGCCTAGGACTCTGCAAAAATTAAAACACAAAATACGGGGAAAAATTAAAGCACTTGCACCTGAATTATGTTTAGCAATTTTTAACCACATGAAAACGGCATTGCAGGAATGTTTCGATCGAAACGGAACATACCTCGACAATATAATCTTTAAAACATGAAATCCCGCTATATTGAGTGTATTGTTGCTTCAATAAGTTAATTTCAAACATCAAGACAATTTTTGTGTTAGCCTTTAAAAAGGGAAATTTATTCTTGGACATCCAGTGCCTGCAGATTCAAGCGTCAGGATCTTAGACTAATAGATCCCTAAAGAACAGCACTGTATATCAGATTCCAACGTCCCTGAATTCCGTGTTTACCCGGAAAATGCATAACCGGTGCAAACGAGCACGTAGAAATCGATTGTATCTAACTCCCCAAAGCATTTAATCCATTCAGTGACGAACAGATTTTAATACACCCCACTTTTGGCTCATAAATAAAACATCTGAGGTAGCACAGGCGCGGAGGGTACACTTTTGAAAAGGGTTATGATCGAACAATTAAAAACGACAAGTAGGTCATACTGGAGATGATTTTGTTACTGTATATGCACATCTTTCTATACAAGGTGTTAAAGTTGTTATTGTATTTTACCCAATACACCTAAAAGCGTGCTAGAAAATAGGTTTTTTAGTATGTGGTAGAAATATCAACGCTTTGTATCTGGCCTTTTTTAGATACTATTTCGTGGATGGTGTTTACAGTAAAACAAGTAATCTTAGTAAGCTGTGCTGGCAAAATGTCAAAATGCTTCAAAGTTATGTCTTTATCAGCATCGACCAAGACATTAAAAAACTGCATGATATAGGGTTAGGAAAATTTCTTTATTTTTCTACTTGACCTGAAGCATTTGTCAGGTCCAGCCCTAGCAATTTTATAGTATTTTAAAATGAGATCAACATTCACAAGAAAAGAAAATTTCCAAGTAAGCAACAGGAAATTAATATCTTGCGGTAGACGAGTATTTGGACAACATTTTTACCAGGATCTGTGTACGAAAGGAAAAGTAAAATATACTCGTATATGCTGGTTGACACCAAAAAATTTTGGAATCCATAACAAAGAAGCCAAAAGACTGCAACAGTTATTCTTAACAGACACACTGTAACTACACAAATCTAAACGTGTTTGATGATATGTTATACCTATGTAAAACGCTGTGTTTTCAGTAGAACTAGATTTATTTGCTGAAAAAATATTCTCTTGCAAAATCGCTTAAGCTGATATATAGTGTGTCCCAGATTCGCTTCTCTATACCTCTATACAGGGTCTCGGCTCCTGTTATACGTACAGCAAAGGTTGAATGAGAAAAGTTTTAGAGAAGCTTAGTGCTTTTGATAGCTGGATTCGGATTTACGATCGGTCAATTGGTTTCGAAAATACCAGCGAAGAACCGAAAATGGCGAAACTTGTTTTTTTGACAGTAAATCAAAAAAGGGTAAATTGATAGCTGTGACATTATTCGGACATTTTTTTAGGAAAAATAAGATAGCCATACATGACATGTCTCAATCGTCTTTTGTTTTCAACCAACCCGCCTCAACTTTCATTTTTCTTATGGTCGTCATATTGGATTTTTTCATTTTTGAAAAGAGTGTAAAATTTCCAGTCTAGTGATGTCTCACAAGTGCATAAAAGATTGCAATGGGTGATTTTTTTGCTAGTATCTGTTTGGCAACACTGTTTCTGACAGACGACGCGTGAATCGTGTCTTGTGTCATTGTCAAACTTGTTCAGTTTGGTCTATAATTTAACCATGAATCGACTTACGAACGAACAACGCTTGCAAATTTGAATTTATAGGCAATTTGGTCGGCCTACTGAGGGAGCTATTCGGAAGCTTGTGACTAAATTCCGAACCCAGTTTACATTATTGGACATTAAACCACCAACACGCAGACGTAGAGTGAGGACTGAAGAAAATATTGCGGCTGTATCCGCCAGTGTTAGTAATGACCGTGAAATGTCGATTCGCCGCCGTTCGCAGCATTTGGGCCTCTGTTACTCCACTACGTGGAAAATTTTGCGACAGTATTTGGGTGTAAAATCTTATAAGATACAGCTGGTGCAAGAATTGAAGCCACACGACCTCCCACAACGTTTCCAATTTGGTGAGTGGGCGCTGGCAAAGTTTGAGGAAGATCCACATTTTTATCGAAAAATTACGAAGCTCATTTCTGGCTGAATGGGTAAGTTAACAAGCAAAATTGCCGCATCTGGAGTGAAGACCATCCAGAAGCATTGCAAGAGCTACCAATGCATCCCGAAAAAATCACTGTTTGGTGTGGATTATGGGCCGGTGGCATCATCGGGCCGTACTTCTTCAAAGACGACAATGGCCGGAACGTAACTGTGAATGGCGAGCGCTACCGTGCGATGATAACAAACTTTTTTTTGCCCAAAATGGAAGAGCTGGACTTGGCTAACATGTGGTTTCAACAAGACGGTGTCACATGCCACACCGCACACGTAACAATGGCCCTATTGAGAGGCGAGTTCGGTGAACAGTTTATCTCACGTTTGGGGCCCGTCAATTGGCCGCCTAGATCGTGTGATTTAACGCCGTTGGACTATTTCTTGTTTTGCCATGTTAAGGCTAATGTCTACAGAGATAAACCAGCAACGATTGACGCACTGGAAGCCAATATTGAAGCATTTATTCGTGAGATACCGGCCGATATGTTGGAGAGAGTGTGCCACAATTGGACCTTGCGCGTGGGCCATCTAAAGCGGAGCCGCGGCCAACATTTACATGAAATAATCTTTAAACATTAAATTATATCGACCGTTCTGTCGACTCAAATAAAGATTTAATCATTTTTTTCAAATTTTTTGTGTTTTTTTTGAAAATCAAATCCTATACCTCTTAAAAAATCACCCGTTAGATGAGTATACCAAAATGCAGTCATTAAATGCTTCAGGTAAACTGAACATTGAAAATGGTTAGTTGGATTTCGTTTTATTATACACGTAACAAAGAATGGTTTTTCTACAATTCAATAATATTAAACGTTTTTAGTTTTGCAATTTATAGGTATCGGTCGCAAAATATATCTGACTAACAACTTGAAGGTACCGAGACACTCTACTTGACTGTACTTTATGCGGCGAAATGTGAGGATGCCAGATGTTATTTTCACAAAACTGTATAATACACATACGTTATTTTACATTAAATCCCGGTTACTCGCGTCCCAAAAAAAGTATGCAAATACACGCGGCTGTAAAACCCTGCAGGCTAAGTCCATGCATACAGAGGCACATTATTATTTTACAGCTCTTTCATGAATGTGCAGGTCACATTTTCCTGAAACCTACCCGCTTAACCGTATAACGCTAAATCAAAATTTTATTCACCCTAGGCTAATACAGGAGATAAAGGGACTTTTAAATGTTTTCACATAATTTTGAAGGTGATACGGGGCATTTACCACCGTCCATAGGCGTAGAAACTGCGTCAGGGCGTCAGCAAGTCAGCGAAAATTCTCGATATAACCCGATTCCTATCAGTAGTGTGCAACCAATCGTAAATACGCATTCATCATTATCGCGAATCAACAGCGCGTTGTAATTCGTGGGGAAAACGAAAGATATAGCACACTCCTCATATCCTGTTAAAGAAACTCTCTTTCTGTATATTACCAGAACGTTCGGGGATTAAACTCCAAATGTCAAGATTTCCTTCTCAATGTAACAATATCTGATTATGACATCATTTGTTGTACTGAAACTTGGCTGCAATCAGGGGTACTCAATGCAGAGCTATTTACAGTCCAGTACTGTGTTTTTAGATCTGATAGGGACTTAGTTAACCTAGAATGTACAAGAGGAGGTGGGGCTCTGATTGCCACGAAAGACTGGTTGAATTCGACTGAAATTGATACAACTGCTGTTAAGAGTGATATCCCTTGTATAGACCTGGTAGGCGTTCAGTTTACCATTCAATATAAAACCACATACATATTTGTGGTCTACATACCACCCAATACTAGCGTTGCATGTTATGAGCGCTTATTTGAGCATCTAGAATCTTTGACATACCTCTCTGGTAATGATGTTTATTTTCTTGGGGATTTCAACATTCCAGAGTTTTGTATACAGAATATCTCACCATCACGCAAATTGAATGTAGTTGACTCCTTTACAGCATATTTTGACTTCTTACAATACAATCAAATTCTTAATATTAACAATAGATTGCTTGACCTAGTGTTCTCCAACAAATCATGCTTGGTGACTAGAGCATACCATGACCTATTGCCCGAAGACTCACATCATCCTCCACTTTGTATTACATTACACAGAAACTCTCGTAGCAAAACCTGGTCACAATCAAATGAGAATATTTCTCTGAGTGGATCCCAAGATACTTCTTGGATTATTACAGCGAGTGCTTACTAGATTTTTCTCCAGTAAAAGCATTCACTTTTACAATAACCAAGCTTACCCTTCATTCCGAAGTTAAACTACAAGTCAATCAACTTGACCCCACTTACTTGATAGGGTTGTTAGTTGATCCTTACGATCAATGTTTTGAACTTCTCTGCCCTCCGCAAACACGCAGTAGTCCTGCTATAAGCCGTTAAGTAAAGTAATCAAGTTTCGAACTCCATTCGAAGTGCAAACCGCATGTCGTAAAATTTACGTTTATGCATGTACATGGCATCTGGATATCTCTAATTGTCCAGATATCTTGGAGGATCCCTTCCATTTGCCTTTTGTCCAGCCTTTGTTTATTCGGGCTACGTGTTCTGCCGCCGGGAGGTCAGAATATTACCCCGGTGATCGGAAACACATTGGGAGTTATACTGGCCTCAAATGCACGGAACCTTGCAAGGAAGCTTTTATAGAATTGAAAATCATGACAGTACCTTCTCTTTACATCTTCACATGTCTGATGTATATAAAGACTAACCCGAGCCAATATACTACCCACAGTGATGTCCACAGTTATAGAACCAGAAATATGGATAAAATCTTAGTACATCATAGCCGTCTCCAAACCATCAGGAACGATACAAACTATTATGAGATAGTTTTTTATAACCTGTTGCCAGACCGTATAAAGAAACTGGATGCGAAAGTTTTTAAACATAAAATTAATGCTTATCTGACTACTAAAGCATTTTACTCGATCAACGAGTACTTGAGCAATAATTTTTCAGACTTGTCGGATTGTTAGCAAATATAACAGTGTTCCTACACCTGGGATCCTCTAGGCTCCTTGAACTTTCTACCAAGTCATCTGGTAAATTTTTATATCAACATTTCATATGTCTTACCATTTTAACGTATATATGTGTATATGTGTATATATATGTATATATGTGTGTATGTGTGTAGAAGTAAACATACGTATTGTGGTTAAATGAATATGCGTGTATCTATGTACGTATATAAATAATAATAATAATAATAAAATGACTTTATTAGGCACATTATATACACTACAACATAATGTGACCTCTACGTAGGCGAAGTCTAGCTCTTGGCTACTCTACTTAACCTACCCAAATACTCAATTGAAACACTCAATCAAAAGAAACTTTGATAAGCAAAAGACGCTTCAAAACAACGAGCTTGATAGCTTCCTAGCATACATATACGTATACACACATATATTACGTAAACTAAAATTAAATGTAAGAATTAAAAACTAACTTTTCCAAAATTACTACAATGACAAATAAATCTAAAAATATATATGTCCTCCTGTTTCTACAACTTATATGGACTTGCTGTATCTGCTTTTATTGAATCATAATGTCATAAGTTGATGTTTTTCTGTCTAATTTGAACATCAGGCTTTTGTCAGACTGCTTTTTGTATTAATTTTTTTTTCTTTTGACTTGTGTAAACACGCTGGTGTACTTAACACAAATAAAGAATTGAATTGAATTGAATATACTAGTCAATACGTAACTCAATTTTCAGTGTATACGCTCCACTATGAAACGTATAGTGCAGTTGAAAAGATCCTAGACCCGTGGTGGTTGATAATTAAAAATATTGCAAATTTCTAGTTTTTCTGCAGGTTTTAGGTTTGCTGGTAGCTCTACGACATATATTTGGGTATTTCTTAATCGCTGTGAATATAGTGTGGATATTTGTCAAGTTCCTGAACAACGAAAAATATTCAATTTATGGATGTATGAATATTAAAAAACCAGAATGGTTTTGTGGGAATATCAATCTAAGGTGCCATAATGGTTCTGATGAACGGCAAGTGAATGAATGAATGTTTGGAAACGAGCAATATCTATGAACTTTTTGGAAGAGCCAGTCATCAAGTACGTGATTAATGGCTATCTGCAACAGGTTTATAGGAAAAAACACCCAGTAGATGATCTTGAATCAGTAAAATCGCATATCAATTGAAGAAAATAATATTATCATGAATAAAAAACCAACAATGGTAATTAAAACATGAATTTTATTCAAAAATCAAACATTCGTTTAAATTTTGACTGAATTATATGTAATTTCTTAATATTCAATAAGCTGGTGATGTTTCAATGACAAGATGTCATCACATACTTTGACAATATTTTGTTTTCAACATTTCATAGCTATTGGTTGCTAAAATTTATTGATTGGAACTTGAAGCTCATTCGCTGTATTTAACGGTCTGTTACCCTATAGGTGGAGAATAACGGACTGTTGTTGGTGAAATTGGCCCTAAAAGAGGTCTCAGAAAATCCCGTGCCCGCTTTTCAAGATATCCAAGGTCGCAAATATCATTGGTTTGTAAAGCTCTCGCTTCCAAAGGGTTAAATGATATTTGCATTTATAAAGAATATTGTAGAGAATAAAATTTGTAATTTAACATATTAATAAATTATAAATTAATAATTATATCTTTGATATTTTTGACAAACCAAATAGATGTATGTGTAAAATATATATCCTTATATAAAAATTCGCAGAACCCAAATGAAGACTTGTGCAATCAAAAAACTCATATATACTATAGATACCTCATAGTAGTACATAACTCAGGTATAGCTTTATTAAAAGTCAGGGAAATGATGATAATAAATTGTAAATGTTCGAGCATAAAAGATATTTAAGACTATTGGTTTTACTGGAGACTGTATAAAACCTCCCCGAATTTGAATTTTAATCATAAAAAATATATGAAACATTACTCTAAATAAAACACTATGATGTTTTTACTCATTCTTTTCAAACCGATAATGTAATTAGGATTTATTAGGTTATAATTAAGCAATGATAGATATTGAAAAAATAATGTATATTTTAGTTATAGTTTTTTAGTTATACGGGATATATCATGAATAACGGTGGACCTTTCATTTTGCTGTATACAGCTAATCGCTGCATGTCTCCGCTCTATATCTCAAAAACGGTCAATTCTATGAAAAAATGTTTGAAGCAAAAGTTGTAGAGAATTTTACTGTCTGCAGTATTCATAATAAATGCAAATACCATTGAACCCAAAGGAAGCGATATCTTTTTAAAAAATCGATTTTTGAGACAACTTTTAGATTGGATGTTTGCAGCTTATTAACTCTCATTCCGAGGATGATCCCCTTTTATGGCTAATACAGGGTGTTTCAGAACTATGGGATCAAACTTGTAGGGGTTATTCAGTGTAACAGTTCAAAATATTTGAGTATAGAGACCCATATCCGGCGCTTGTGTTTTGTTATCTTCAAAAACGTTAACAGATATTGTTTTTTGTAGCTGCATTCCATATCGCCTTAGTCGTGCCATCGTATTTGTGAAGTCTGCAAGAGTTTAACAAAAATTAATTGTTTCTAATGGAAAACTTTACCAATCAAGATTTGGCGAATATCCATTTGGCATACGGAGCAACAAGCTGCAATGCACGAGCAGCAGCGCGGTTGTATCAAGAACGTTATCCCGAACGACATCATCCGGGATACAAAAACTTTATTGCTATTCATCGGCGACATGTTTAAAACCAACATGCATGATACTGGTGTTGCTCGATCCGTAAGAACGGTCGAATTTGATGAAGAGGTCGTTCAGCGAGTTGCCGACGAACCATCAAGTAGCACACGTCACATTGCTGAGGAGATGAATACGAGTAACGCTTCCGTCTGGTGGGTGCTACACGAGCAACAACTTTATCCTTACCATTTCCAGAAAGTTCAAGGATTCCCTTTCACAAGAGATGGTATTTTCAATAGTAGGAATAGCCACGTTTGGGACAAAGAAAATCCTCATGCAATTTTTCCTAGAAAACATCAGCAACGTTGGTCTGTCAACGTAAGGGTAGGCATTGTTGATGATTATTTGATTGGGCCATACCTTCTAGCGGAACGGTTAGCAGGACCTATTTACTGGCACTTCTTGAAGGAAGTTCTTCCAAAACTTCTTGAAAACGTTCTATTGAACGTTCGACAGAATTTGCGGTTTCAGCATGATGGAGCGCCGGCTCACTTTGCTGTACAAATACCTGAGTATTTGGCTCAGCGTTTTGGGCACCGTTGGATTGCCAGAAGTGGAGCAGCTTCTTGGCCTCCTAGGTCACCCGATTTAACGTCGCTAGATTTTTTCCTGTGGGGACATGTAAAGTCTTTGGTTTACGAATCTCCAGTAGAAACAGAGCAAGACTTAATTGGTCGAGTTACAGAAGCATTTGAAATCATTCAAAACGAGTATCAAATTTTTAGTCAAGTCCGCCGAAATCATTTGCGACGTTTAAATCGGTGTATTCAGGTTGGAGGAAGACATTTTGAACAATTATTGTGATGATATCATGTAAAAAACGCAAAAGTTAAATGCAATCCTATTTACGCAATTCATCGTCTTTCTAAATTTTAACGCGTCTTAGGGCCGTAGTGCCGTAGAGACACTTTTCCGGATATGGGTCCCTATACTCAAACGTTTTCTACTGTTACACTGAATAACCCCTAGAAGTTTGATCCCTT